GGTATTTTTTAATTAAAAGATCGCAGTTTATTGATGGTTAAGCAAATAAATATTTCAGCTTTATATATCCTGATTACAAAATAAATTCCTATTCTCATTTGAAAATGGTATTATATCGATTGTGTTACGGTAATGTTGAATTCAATTTGTTGTTCTGATTATGGTATACTATTTAGTCGATCATTTAGTCAAAAAATTCAGAAAAAATTGTAAATGGTTCCCAATTCATATCCGAAACTGCGTACGCCCCTGTTATAAACAACACAAACTGTTGGACGGACTGAGGAATCCCACTCACTCTGTGCTCATTTCGTTTTAATTGCGTCAAATTGTTGAGTTCTCTTTGGGCTCTCTTCAGAATCCCCTGCCACGTTTACTTTAGAGTCGCCTCCCCCCACCACCGCCCATGTCCGTGCCGCATCGTTGTTGCTTTTTTGTTTACACTCGATGGCCGCAATGTGGCGAAAAATAAACACACACACGGAGAAAACTCTTACGCACATGGCATGAAAATTGTAAAAGTGTGGAAAAGTCGGGAGGGGAAATGTTTTCGATTGCCCAAAAACGAATGGGGAAGTGCAGCTGGATGGGTGCAAAGCGGGGTGGGGGGACAAACGGGAAAGTGCCGTGACAATAGCAACAATTTTTAGCTGCTTTGCACTCAAAAAAATAATATAAATAAATAACAACATACTCTGCAAAAGAGGATTTTAAAATAAGAATCCAGAATATTTTTTTTCGATTTTATATATTGGTCTGGTTAAAGAAAAAGTTTCTACCAGGAATTGTATATTTTAGAATGAGTTAATTGATTATAATAAATATTCAACTCATATTATTTCTTGTTATCTACAGCTTTAAACCATTTTTAAAGTGTCCTATTTATTTATTATTATTAAATAGTGTAGCTTTTCTCAGTCACTAATATTTTTTGCTAGGTGCAGGAAAACAAATTTGAATATTTACCCAAAGAGGCACAGACTTCGTCTGTCGTCTGCTACGCTGCATTGAGTTAACCCGCTCCCTTACTCATTTACCGAATTCCCCAAACACCCAACTCCCCCGTTTTATCCATCACATATCACCCAATTCCTTGGAGTACAAATAGTGAAATAGACCGGGACTTATGGAAATCCCTGGATGAACGAACCTACTCATGATTTTTATTGCTGCTGCATGGCAAGAAATCCCCAGAGGGGGGAGGGGGGCTGTTGGGGATCGAAGAAGGAGTGTGGATCTCAAGGGAGGGAAATAAACCCATCAACAACAATGAAGTGTCGCCAACGATCCAGGAATTGCAGCTTACAGAAGCACACACAAAGGAACATATATAAAAACATCAACATGAAAGCATCAACTTGCATTTTTAAATTTGAGCTGTAAGTAATAAAATTTTTATGGGATATTTCAATTAAATTAAAATTAAATGTAAACGAATTTAAGATTATAAATTTTACTAAAAATTCACTACTGAAATTTAGGCTTTTATTTAATATAAATAAAATACACCAAAGAAAATGACTTTTAAAACACTTGAAGCTTAAAGCGAAGAGCATTAAAAACATCAAGTATCCTCCAAGCAGTTCAAGAAAAAGGAAAACAAATCAATTCATACATGACACTCCCTCTCAACACTCCTTACCCCTCATAAAAAAAACAAATTTACATACGCTCAATAAATGGTTAAGGCACAATTGCTTTCAAATCAGTTGAAAATTTCGAACACTTCAATTTACTGGTCATAAAAAAATAGAACCAGAATGGAAAGTGCACAACAAAGGCAGTACTCAAATAGATAGTACCCGACCCATTTCCATTTGGTGTTTTACTGGTTTTTGAAACATTTTTTCAATGTTCAATGCAGCTCGTTAAAAAACGACATGTGCAACCGAAAATCACATAAAATCTGAAAAAAGAAGACACATGGTATATAGAGCATACAAGGAATTATCTACTGATTTCACTCCCAATTTTTTCACCGGCCTTTAATATAATCATAAAAATTCCATAAATTTAATCGCTTAAAAGTTTACCACATTTTCGATGTCAGACGTGATCTTTTTCCGATTTAGTAGCACAAAAAGAAAAGATATTTTGACCTCAATTGCGTTTTTGTTTTACAAATTTTCCGTGAAAAATGTATCGATTTATGACAATAAGTATATTGATGCAAGACAAAGAATAAAATTGAAAGATGTGCCAGTAAAGGTATTTTATCAAGTCTATGTTCGTTTTTATTTTACTAAGGCGCCTAAAAACATCTAATCTGTACCAAAAAAACATTAAAACGAACCCTGATCTCATCTTACAACATTAGTTCACAAAAAAAAGAAGAAAAATAGAAGTCCTGCAAATTTAGATCATATTCCCATCGCCTGTCAACACACAGAATTTTGTCTGTTGATCTATTAGTTTATTCTGACATTTTTCGAGTAGTTTCAACTCTTTTTACGATGTTCAATGTTTTGTCGTTGATTTTATGGGCATTTAATGTGCTATAAAAGTTGACAAGAAGGAGGGGTTTTCGAAATGAGGGTTTCATTTTTTTTTTGGGGGAGTTGTCATCTGTTTGGTTTTGTTGGATCGAGTTTTTGGGTCTGATTTGGATGTTGGTGCATTGACATTGAACACCTTTCGATTTTCTCAGGCCTTTGTTTGCATTCGGGGGAGTCAAAAGAGCAGTCAAAGCAATCGCTTCAGTTGTTGTTTTTGCTTTTGTAGCTGTCATTACTGTGTAAACAAGTGACATCTGGTCATCCGCCCCCCTTTTGATCCCCGTCCGTGGATAAGTGCACGCCTCTGTTTGCCTTTGGATCGGCAGCCAGCAATTGCAGATGCATCTATGTACGTGCGTACGTATCTATATTTATTTACAGAGGGGGTCAAAACAATAGCATATCAAATGTTATGTGTTTTCGTATTTAATTGATAAACAAATTGGTTACTCTTGGAAGTATGTATTGCCTTTGAGATCACCTAATATGCCTGGTCCTTTAAATAATAAAATGACTTCCATACACGTTATCAACGATCGTAATATTTAAACATATGCTTATATATTTTATTTAAATTAATTTCGGAAAACTTAAAACAATTATTGTATATTAAATCTTAATGGGACTGGGTCTTTTATTTTTCTTTCACTGAATTAACCCTAAACTTTGAAAATCGGTTTTTTAATAGAATGTATTTCTCCATAAAATATCAGCATTTTCACAGAGTGCCACAATCTTGACCGTTGCTGTACGTCTGCATCTAGGCGTTTGGCATCAATGGGCGATTGTCTGGCCCAGTAAGCATAAGCATCCACCAACATCCACCAGCAGAAGCTGCATTCTGGCCAGGCACTTGGCCTTATCTACCAGATACAATCTGTGGCATTCCGCGCAAGAAAATTAAGCAATGAAAAGGGGCAGGCTGAGGCAACAGCAGCAACAACAATGCGGCGCATCAGAAATATTTAATTAAATGCTTAATTACGCTTGCCATGCCATAAATTCATCAAATGCAATTTAAGCCCGCGCACACGAACAGATGCAGATACTTTTGTAACTTCTTTGGTTCTTCAGTTAATCCATTCCTGTATCTGTATCTTGTTCTCCCGTTTTCATTCATTGGAACATTCAACTGCAATTGCAATTGGAGTTGGGCCATAACTTAACCCCTCCTATTTCTTAACTGACATAAATCCCAGCCTTTTTTTTCCATCCCGTCCTGTCGGCATTTTTAGATCATTTATCCAAGGAGAATCAGCAGAAATGCAAAACGGCGTTCGTGGAACGGTTTACAAGATCCTCAAAAGGGGGGATAACCTTCTATGGAGCCTATCTAGATCTGCACTTTCGATAGATCAAAGTTGAAACAGACGCTTGGTTGGAAAATAGATTACGTTACTTTTCTTTTACGTAGATTTATTTGATTTAAATAAATTATAGAAGGAAATTCTCTCAATTCTTGGTTGGATAATCAGGAGCAGCGGGATTTTTCCCTTTGAGATTGCGCAATCCATTCAATTATGTCTCAATTGATGGCAAATGCATCTGATCATCTTCTTATCTGATCAGCTTCAATTAGCCATGATGTACATATATATCTATATGGCAACAGCCCCCTTTCGATCCGTTGAACTCCACTGATTTGGCAATTCAATTCGATTGCCATTCGATGGCCGGGTAATCCATCAAACTGCCTACTGATCCCAATGAACCGATCGCTGGGAAATCAAGGGTCAGGTCACCGAGCTCCATTGGCTTCATGGGGGGTTTTGGAGGAGGGGCGTTGCAATTGACAAATTTCGAGCGGTCGGAAAATGAAAACGAAATGCGAGCAATTACTTTCAATTGAAAATGTCAAACATTGTCTTGGGCCGCCAGCACACACTGAGCGAAAAGCTGGACAACTTATATAAAGTTTTACATTTTAAATTCCTTAGTTACTACAAATGGGTATTTTTTGAAGGAATAAAAACATTTTGTTTGCAAATTTTATTTTATATACAGGACACACAACTAAAATAATAATAATTCGTGTTTTTAACATACACAACAGCTTGTCCTTTAAGATGGCAAAAGTTTTATCACTTCAAGATCTTTAAACTAAAACTGTGATGAATTTAAAATACTTTCATAATAGAAAGTACTGTGGTTATATTTTTTTGTACTAATAAAATAGCCAACCTAAGCAATGGTTTGCAACTCAATATTTTCAATGGAAAAACTAGATTTTTGACAGTGCTTTCCTGCCAGCCGATACTTGGATATAAAGATACAAATACACCGTCGGATATTTGTATACAAATCTATATCTAAAGTCGAGCACTTGAGGGCCGTACGCAAGCACCTTGGGCGGAAATGCGATAACCCTGAGCGGGCGGGGAAAAAGCGGAAAAGCGGAAAATGGGAGCGCACATGTTGGGCGCCTTAGAAGATTTTCGTTAGTCTCTATTGGATAAGAGGTGGTACCCCCCTCACATAAAAGTCGGAAAAGCCCTTATAACTTACCGGATAACATGGGCGCCAAGGAAGTGTCCGTCGATGGATGATGATGTCCTCCATTGAAGGTGTTGTTTTGCGACTCCTGTTGCTGTTGTTGTTGGTCCTGTTTGAGCGCCGCCGATTTTCCGGGGACGCAGCCCACAATGGGCTTCTTCGATTTCCACAATTTCATTTTGAGTTTTCTTCGACTAGCACTTCCCAAAGGGATATCGCGATCTTTACAATTTTTCAACACTCATGATGGCAAATTTGGCATTTTCACAAAGAAAAAATATATATGAAAATAAAAAAAAAAATAGTATATGCACAGTTCGAAATCGAATGGGGGATTTCAAAATTTATTCGGTTTCCAATTGAAATTGGGAAATTCAGACGGCGACTGCGATGCGACTGAAAGTAAACGATGCGCGCACGTCCGCGGAACACGGCCCGAAATTGCAAAATGAGCGATCTTGCCGCCAGTCCCGCGCTTCTGCTCTCTCCGTTCCGCTCGCTCTTTCTCTTTCTCTCGGTCTCTCGCTGCCAACCCCACTGCACCCACTCCACCGCCCGGCGGACAACAAGGCGCACGCTCTGCTCTCCAAGAATTTCTGGGCGCCGCACAGTGGATGTGGTCCTTTAACAAACTAAAACCCATTTTCTAATTGTATATTCATAAGTTTCTCAAATGTTGGGAGTATTAATTATTCTATTAATAGAATTTTAATCTCCCATACTCCTGTTTAACACCTTAACCCTTTAGTGTTCTATTGTTTGCTCTAACATATCTATCTATATCTATATCCTTTTTGTCCTTAATCAATTTAGTTTTTATTTACTTACATATCCCACTGTGCAGTGCTCTCTCTTTCGCTTGGTGCGTGAGTCACACACACTCGAGTGGGAAAAGGGAAAAGGAGAGAGAGTAAGTGGAGCACTTTTTTGGGGAGTTTGGCGACTTGAGAGAAAAGTGCTCTCTTAACTCTCTCTCGCATGAGAGTGGCCCATTGACGGAGCACTCAAATCACAGACCGCCACTCCAAAAACACCGTTATGAGCCCGCTGATGAGCCGCAGGCATGACAATCAGCTGCTTCTGTTAACCGTAAAAAGGTGACCACGGAGGAGGGGGGCTTAACCTATGACCCCAAACGCTAAGCGCTAAACGCAAAAAAATTCCCCCAAACGGGTGTCGCGAATTTGCTAATTAGTCACGAAAAGCGCGACGCGACGGCAACTGCTCGAAATGGTCAACAAAAACAGGACAAAACAAGAAAGGAAAGCTAACTTCGGGCGGAGCCGAAGTTGATATACCCTTGCAGAATACTCTGTAAATTATATTTTCCAAAATTATTCATATGATGCATTCTTAATACTCATAAAAAATCCAAACTTCGTAACTTTAAAAACACCAAAGTTATGGCATTTCCGATCAATCAGTTATATGGAAGCTATAGGATATAGTCGGCCGATCTTTATAAAATTTGGTACGTCAAATTGAATGGCCAAATACAAAACACATAGAAAATCCCAACTTCCTAACTTTACAAACACCAAAGTTGTGGCATTTCCGATCGTTCAGTTATATGGCAGCTATACTATATAGTCGGCCGATCCTTATAAAATTTGGAACGTCAAATTGATTGGCCAAATGTAAAACCCATAGAAAATCCCAACTTCCTAACTTTAAAAACACCAAAGTTATGGCATTTCCGATCGTTCAGTTATATGGCAGCTATAGGATATAGTCAGCCGATCCCGGCCGTTCCGACTTATATACTGCGTGCAAAGGAAAGAAGGGTGTGTGCAAAGTTTCAATTCGATAGCTTTAAAACTGAGAGACTAGTTTGCGTAGAAACAGACAGACGGACAGACGGACAGACGGACAGACGGACATGGCTATATCAACTCAGGAGGTGATCCTGATCAAGAATATATATACTTTATAGGGTCGGAGATGTCTCCTTCACTGCGTTGCACACTTTTGACCAAAATTATAATACCCTCTGCAAGGGTATAAAAAAATGGGAACGAACCAAATTGGCAGCACGCAACCAGTGGAACATCTGCTAATGACCACAAGACAACAGCTGGCCATAGCCATGCACTCTTGCAATCCAAACAAATACCCGTAAGCCCAATTCAGATACTAATCCCCAAAGGAAACCAAAATCGTACAAAATTCATTCACTTTTACTTATGGGAGACAAATAAAACATCTTTAAATATTACAAATTTAATTTTCGAACTAGAAATGAGTTTCTACAATCCTGATAGTATAATCTTTAACTCCAAACCTGGTAGTAATCCTTAACCCACACATATGTACATATTTCATTAAAATTAGAAACAAAAACCATTATTTTTTAATAATAGTTCTGCTACTTCTTACTATAAAAATTGTAATCCAAATTTTATAAACACATTTTGGCGGTGCTGTTATTTTTACCGGAATTGTATTTTTGTAGGGCAGGAATATTGTTTATATATCATGCCAATGTGCGTTCAAAATGTTGCGATCAATCAGTTTTGGGCAAAGTAAATATTCCAGCGGATATTTACTCCAGATGCCCTCAAATCTTGACCCACGAGGGCAATGACATGAATTTAATTTCACACTCGATACACCCATTAATATTTATATCCATGTACATTAAATCCGCTTTAACTGCAAGTACAAATGTGGCCACCTTTAAGGTTAAAGCTGTGGATTTATGGATGACTTGGTAAGTCCCGTCCCGCCAGGAATACATCCAAGTATTCCGACCCTCTATATATGTATGCATTTTATTTTTATGCGATTCGGTCTTCCGTGTTAAATGCTTTCTTCCTCTCTCCTTTAGGGGCGCGGGGGTTTAATGTCTTTAATGACCTCGACTAATGATCGAAGCTGATTGATTCAGCAGAATCGTCGAAGGCTCTCTCCAAGTTTGTCTGCCTTATTTTTAGATACCCTGCCTTATATTCCCCATTCCCCCCTCCCCAACAAAAAATGTAATTCCCAGTCCAAGGTGTCACTGCAGACAGAGAAAGAAAGCAGAACGCAGAGAGACTGATTGACGAGTGCCGAGAATGCCGGGGAAAACTGATGCGACATATGGGAAAATATCTGTTGAGAGCACTTTCGATACTTTCCGTAGCATACCTTCAGGCTGATCCACCATTGAAAAACAAAGAACCATACAATTCCATTCCTAGTAATAACAAATTAAAGTAAATTAAATAATTATACCCTTGCAGAGGGCATTATAATTTCACCTTTCTGGTTCGACATTTTAAGGGGTAACCTCTTTCCAAATTTTCCAAAAATGGTTTTGCAGGAAAGTGACCAAAAACTTGCACTTCTAAGCCCATAACTTGTCGTACAGATACCCGATTTCAAAGTGGCATACTTCAAAACAATTGTGGTTTAATTCTCTAAAAAACTGTGTTCTCAGTTTATTTTTTAATTTTTGGTCGATTTTTCGTCATTTTTATTTTCTTTGAATGAATTTCAGATACCATGATAACAACCACTGTGCTCTACATTTCGAGCTCTCTAGGTCTTTCTTTCATTCACAGCATATATACCTTTAAGTAACAGTTATAGTAATTCTCTCTTATGCTTTCCACCATCGAGAGATAATTTAACAGCTAGGAATGAAGGTAGAAACATATAAAAATCAAATTCCCATGTGAATGGAATAAAAATATTACTTAAATTTCGTATTATAAGGGATCTCTGCGTCCGCCAATTCGTGTAAACTGTGTGAAATGATTTCGCCTAGCTTAAGTGCAGTGTTATTTTGTGTGTTATTGTTATATATAACCCAAGTACGATCTGAATTATCTGCCGAGCAAGTGCCTCCAAATCCAAGTGCAGCCCAAGTTCTACCAAGTTCCTGCAGGAATGGGTTAAATGGTAGTACGTCGGGACCGGAGATTAGGTTGCCCTTTGTGGATATGTTGGTGCGCCATGAGCATCCACTTTTCATACTCCACGAACCGGATGAGGATTTACTATTGCTGCTCCATGGACCCGAGATTTTCCAATTTCACGTGGCCACCGGCGAACGGCGTTTGGTGCCCCTTGGAACTTTAGCCGGTCAGGTAAGGAATCGCAGAGCTCTCGGCGCAGAGGTCGTGGCCTGGCGGCAGTTCCTGCTCCTAGCCGTCGTCCTCGAGGATTCCCTAGAGGTGTACCAACTGCCCAAGGAACTGCTTCTCTCCGAAGATCCCGCCACGCAGCTCAGTTTCGAGCCCCTGCAGGAGTTCTCGCTGCCTGGAGGATTTATTCAGCTCCACCTTCTGAAACCCAGTGCCGAACAGGTGCTCCTGCTGGTGGCCTCCAATCATACCAGGACACACAGCAAATGCAGGTGAATATTTTTAAAGGGATCTATCGATTTAAAGGTATTCTCAGATTTGTTAATAACATTAATATTTTAAAATGCCACGTATTATAATTAAAAATTTTAATTAATTTTTCCTTGCTTACAAATACCAATAATTCATTTACAGAACCTTTGAGTGGCTGGACACTTACTTTAATCCCCTCGAGGAGATCACTGTGCCCGCCATTCGCGTTCTCCAAGTGGTGGGTCGTCAGCCGCTCTATATAATCTTTGGGCGATCTTTGAGGGGCTCTCAGTCAAAGGTAATATGTCACTCGTCAATTATTATAATTATTTAAATAATGTTAGGTGGAATGCAGCTAAGCGTCATTCATTTATAGACAAATTAATCATGATAAAGCATTTCCTGTGCTTCAGGTAAGGGTCTTAAACACTTGAAATCCACCCAATGCATTTTTTCAAGTATACTTTGATTAGATTGATATTACAAATTCAGGTTTTCCGCTTTTTGCATGCCCTTCTTCCAGCTGGTGCTCACTATCTACGAGGTGGATAAGAACACTCAAGCCCTGCTACATCGACAGGCCTTGACTGTCCAGGCTCAAAGTGTGCAGGCCGCCAGATTTCGTGGCCGGAACTGCCTCATCGCCTGCAGTTCCTCATCCACATCCACTTCGTGCCTTTTCTTCCGAATGGTGGATGGTCAGTTTGTGGTCTATCGAAAGCATGCTCGAAGGGATTTGAGTTTTCTTCGACTGAGTGCCACCAAAAAGGGTCAGCTCCTGATCGGAGCTCGTTCCAATGGAGAGGTGATGGTCTTCAGCTCAACTCGCCTGGATTGCTACAGTGGTTTTCAAGTGGCTGGGGAATCGGAACCAAGTGGCTTACTTACCCATCGAAATGCACGCAATGAGAGTTTCCTGCTGCTGGCCTATCGAAGATCCTCGAGCGATCTGATCCGTACTGTGCAGCTGGGAGGAGTGGAAGATACCTCCAACCAAGTGGGCGCCGCCCCAGATGAAGGTAATTTTCATAGGAAACCTTGTAAAGTCATTTTAATTAAGCCCTGCTCTTTTCAGATCTTAGTGTTGTCCAGTTGCATCGCCACGAGTTCGAGGAGTCCATCAATGCCTTGCGTGGTCTCCTGCTGCGCCGTCGATCCTCTCTAGAAATCATGCGTAGCCGTTATAACTCTTTAAAGCAAAGATCTGGCATTCGCTTGGAGAAACCACTGCATCTCATGGAAAAAGGACACATTGAGCGGCTTGACCTGGTAGACGATGAACTCCGCACTCCAACTCAGTTGAAAAAGCGTTTTGAGGAACTTCGTCAGCGATTCGGAGCAACCCGAATCAGGAGAACTCCTAACGCTTTTGGCACAGGAAATGAAAATGAAGAGCTGGAAAAACTCAAAGTGCGGCGGTTGCGAGTCGGTAACCTCATATACCAAGGTCAATTGATGCCAGGTAAGTTAAGGAAATCATCCATAAGATATGAGGCTTACCTATATTCTCTTCTTGATCCAAAGGCCATACTCTGGATACTTCAGAGCCACCTTTACTGACCATCAGAAATAGTCGTCTACTGACCAACACACTAAAATCGAAAGAACTGGTGACACCTCAGGATTTTCACAGCTCCAGTAGCTCCCCGATTCCTTCAGAGGAACCTAATGGTAGAGAATGTTTAGTGAATAATCTCCAAGTGGAGCAGATCAATGGAGTGACTTGGAATGAGTTTTTGGGCTCGCTATTTCTGCGAAACCGTGACACATCTCTAAAAGGACGACTTGTGATGCAATCGAAAGCTCGAGTGGAAGACCTGAAGACGCCTCTGCTCAACGGACTGGTGGTTGATCAGCTTTTCAACCTGCGACGTGCCCAAGTGATCAGATCTAATATCTACATGTCCGCTTTTTTTGCTCCTCGTTTGGAGGCTAAGTCGGTAAACGGCCTGAACTTTGCTCAAGATATCGTTATTCGCGGTGGCAATGATACTTGGATAAAAAGTAAGACTTTTCCTTATGTTATTTTATGAATGGAACTAAACAGTCTTTATATTAGCTCCTGTTCGAATCAATCAGATGAGTGTATCGGGTGACATTCAAGTGGACAAACAGAGGGAATCGCAACCACAATCTAGGCAATTCAACGAACCGGAGGAACATCGTCTTCAGCAGTACTACACGGGCAGGGTTATAATCCAGGGATCCCTGACGGTCAGAAATGTGCAACGGGATACGGTTAACTCACTGGTAGTCCTGGGAAACCAATCTCTGGCCAGAAGTGATCTCCATTCAAATTATCTTCTGAATCAGACGTCGCAGGTAAGCCTTTTCCCACCTCTTATTCAGCTTAATAACTTAATCCTTCCTCAGAACCTTTCCAATTTGACCTTTGGGACTGCCAAAGTGACTACGCCATCTCTGACCACCAATTATATTAACGGACATCCTTTGGGGGAGCACCTACTCAGCGGAGGACACCAAAATAGCCACAGCTTTCCAAATCGCACCCTACACATAATATTCATGAATGCCAGCGTTCAAGGAGATATTATTTGTAGGGATTATAGCTCGCGTTTGGCGGAGATCTCAAAGGATGCAGTGCGTCATGGTCAGGAGGCGAACATCACGGGTCACAAAAGCTTTAGGGCACCGCTAACCACTCAATCTCTTCAAACCAATCAAATGAATGGAATACCAGTGAGCGAACTAGTGCTAAAAACCAACATCACCCAAAACTTTAAGGGAACTAAAAGTTTTGCCCGATTGGTGGTGACGGATGAACTAAAGGTGCAAAATCACTTGAATGTGAGTCGTCTAAATGGAATGCCATTGCAGCAGCTTCTTAGCCATGATATTAGCCTGCAGCGACTGGAATTGACAGAAATGCCACATTTGCAGAATCTTAGGTTCCGACGACTTAATGGATTGCCCTTTGATGAACTGCTGTCCAAGATCTCGGACGGGAATGAACAGCCCCTACTTCTCCACAAGCAACTCCTTATCGAGGGTAATGTGCGCTTTGAAAAACCTATTCAGCTGCAGACTATTAACGGAATCCAATGGGACGATTACCTGAGTCGCCTGGTAAGACCCGATTCCAATGCGGAATTACGAGGAAAGAAAACCTTTCTGGCGGATGTCCAAATAAACGATGCTCTTCATGCGCCCCACATAAATGACCTCGATCTAAGTTCCCTGCTGGATAACACTTTGCTGCGAATGACACCCCAGCAGATCAGTGGAGCCTACACTTTCGACAGGATGATGGCTACCAATGTGGATGTGTCTCAAATAAATGGGGTGCCAGCAGAAGAATTTATAGACACGCGAAAGGATTTGGAACTTAAGGGTGATCTCTACCTGAAGCAGCTCAACATCAATGGTAGCTTAAAGTGCCCGTTAGTCAATGAACCAGGATTAAGTGATCTTAAGCAAAGAGTGGAGCGAGTGCAGCAACTTCCCTGGCGGAATTTGATAGTCACCGGAGATGCTCTATGGGATGGTGAGGAGCAGACCCAATCCCAACTGGATTATCTGCGTCAGCATGCTGTGAAAAAATACGGAAATCAGAGCATTACGGGACATGTACTCCTAAAGAAACCCAACCTGAAGAATGTTCAAAGCAAGCAGGCTCTGCCTGTTGAACTTAACTTTACCCATTTGGCCGAAGATGCCCTACTCCGTAGGAGTGCCACAAACGAAACCCAGGTGATCTCAGCTCCCCAAGAGCTGCTGGGATCAGTTAAAGCTAAAACCCTTTATTTAGAAAAGGATGCACACTTTGGACTGGTGAACGGAATCGATATAAGACGATTCAATGCCTCACTGTATCGCCTCTCTAGTGGAGAAGTCATTGCAGCGGCTCTTCACTTTGTCCACGCTCCTAAGATTGGTAAACTTCAACTCGAGCATCCAGAAGTAAATGGAGCTCCAATTGAGAATATCTTTCAGCAGGGAAAAGACCAATCCTGGCCAGCGGTAATATTCAAGCAGCTCCTCGTCGAACAAGATCTTCATCTGGAAACCGTAAACGATATGAGTTTGGAATACTTCCTTCAGCATCGCATTCCCCTGAAGGGAGAAGCTTTGGAGGTATTTGGATCGCTGAGTTTCGAGCATCTTGAGCTGGACGGGCAACCCCTTCTTCGCTCCATTAATGGCATTCAGCTGGACAACTTGGTGTTCCTACACAGCAATCAGGCACAAAGCATCTCGGGTGCTAAGACCTTCCACGGCGGTGTTGAGTTCAATGGACCCGGGCATGTGATGCATTTAAATGGACGTGATCTCAGCGAGAGTTATAGGGGCAGCATCTTCCGAAACAACGACTACAATATTGATAGTCTAGTCCTGGACAAAGCACTCTTCCCAGGAGGTCTTGTTTCGGCAGGAAGTCAAAGTCAAAGTCCCGGTCAAATGCGGGCAATGGAAAGTCAAAGCAATCAACTAGAGGAGCTGCAGGAACTTCTAACGGTCGGTAATCACAGTTCCTACAGGCGACTGCTTTATCTGGACCATGATCCTAAAACACTGGAGTTCACTTGGGTGAAACCCCCTTTGAAAGGGTCCCCGGACCAACAGATGAGCTTTCCTTTGGGTGATACTGTTCCCTGTGAGCGTCGCAGCATACAGGCCCAGCTTCTGATCTCTGAAAGCCGTGTGCTCCTGGCCAATGAAAGTGTGTCCAATCAACTGATGCGACTTAACTCCGGAGATGTCAGGGTGAAGGTCCAGAATCACTGCCATCGTCCAGCCAGGAGATTACGCAGCAGGATAACCATTAGTTGCCGCAATGAATCACATACTCTGGGAATGCGTCAGCCAGTGGAGGCGATGGAGCTATTGGAAATGGAGGATATGGTTCTACTGCTTTTGGGTACCGAAGAGGAGGTGCGGGTCTTGCGATTGAAGAGGCGTGACTGTAGTCTTACCGATTGGCAATCCGTTGTGCCGGCGGATGGTCGCCTAATGAAGGTGATTCGAATGGGGGAAGGGACTCGAAAGGACCTACTTCTCACCAGTGGTATGCGTAATCATCGTCCTGTCCTGGCCATCCATTTGAGGCATCCCTCAAACCATACCTTCAAGTTGCTCCAGTTGATACAGGGCTCCTACGATCTGGCAGAGATGCAAGAGAATCAACTAATGGTCAGCTGTCTGGGTTGTCGTCATGTAGCCATATTTATGCGCAACTCCCTTCCCGATGAAATACACTTTAGTCCCATCCAACAGTTGGGTTTCCAGGAGCGCATTCAACAGCTAACCCCATTTAAAGTTGGCAAAGAGCAGTATCTTTTGGTAATAACCCAACCGGAGGAGGAACACTTTTATCTATTCAGCTATAATCAATTGGGCGGTTGGCGACAACGAACATTTGGCAACAAAAACCAGCACCATTGGGCGTGGCCATTGGTAAGATCTGGACAGAAAGTCGAATCGGAAGAATCCCCAATTCTGCTGCTCTGTGGAAAGGAAAGGAAATGCAGCCTGGTCAAAGCCGTGTTGGGCTAATAATTGTTTCATATTGTAAACTATGTATATTTTTATTTATTGTATATAACTATGCCTATGCTATGCGTATTAATGAATTGTTAAATCTTGTTAAACCAAATTTGTATTGTTATTTTTGAAAGAATAATTCAATATTTAAAATCAATTCCTTTAAAGTCTAAATGCTTAGCACATTCAAAGTACCAGATTATTATAGCATACTAACTTAAAGAAGCATATTAAGCATGCTGGATCGGATCGAGATTATCACACTCCTCGGCTTTATCATTCCTGTTAAGCCTTAGAAATCTTACTTAGCTAGATCCCCCTATCGATCGGATCCCCCATGAATCCTTTTGTAGGCCATTTAGGTTGAAAAGCTCTTACTGCTGATGGTAATCACGTAGCCGGTGAATAATAGGAATCCCAGGATGCCCCAGATAGAGCTGTTCTGATTGCCACCATCCCCAATTTTGGCCAGTATCCATTCCACATGGCTGGCCACGTCCTCGAATCCTCCATCCATGCTCCTTAATCCAAGCAGACGATCCCGTTCCGTCAGCGTGGCTCCTGCATCCATGTAAACGTGGCCAGAAGTGGAGTTTGTGGCTTCTGATTGAACACAAATCCTTGGGGATTTACTCTGCTGCTGATGACAGGATGTGTGGGTGGCATTCAACGTCACTAGATCGTGCAGCTCACGGATATTGCTATCATAACCCCAGGTACTGATCTTTAGAAGGTTACTGGATTCCGAATCCAGGACGGAAGTGGCTCCTGGAGAAGGTAGGCTGATTGGTTGGATATAGGGATGATCCGTTGGCACATCATTTTCCAGCATAAGAATTGCCAGAGCCAAATCCTTGGGCGGCTGGTGGATATGGGTCACTCCATAGATAAGTCCCTGGTCATGAGGAGCAAACCTTTGGGGATTTCCCAACATCACTCGCAGTTCCGATGGATGGTAGTAGCTCCTCTTCACCTGACTGTAAAATCAATACGTTTTTTACTAAGTTAATTACACAGTATTAATGCCAACCAAAAATCATTCTTGTGTTTAGTTGATTTGAGATGCAACAAACAAGTTGGGAATTATAATCTAGAGGCAACTTACCTGAAGATGCAACTACTGACGGTCAGCACAACAGAGGGCGCCACCAAAGCGCCTGAGCAGATGTGTCCCTTGCCAAAGTAATCCCGTTCCTGGGCCAACAATCGTATGGATACGTGGTGCGGGGCCTCCATCATCTTCTGCCGGAATCGATCCTCTCCACCGGCCGCTGCAATGGCATCCATTTCGGCCAGGCCAATACCACGTTTCGCCGCCAAATCTCGATGGGTATAGGCTGCGAATCAACGGAGGTGAAGGTTAGGCAGGAAAGCTGATAAGCTGGCAAATCAAGATCCGATCTGATTCCCCCCATGGAAACAGTCTCCGAGTGCAGTGCACCTTATCACCTACAAAAAATAACCTATCAGCAATCGAGGCCTGGTCAGCGCCCCGATCGCTCCCTGATATCAGCTGCTTTTCCAGGGCACACGTCCCGGATTCGACCCGATCAGGCCACCAATGTTGTTCTCGGCGTGATCGCAGATATGATAGCGACTCCGTATGGCCGGTATACAGGTATCTACGTCCCCAACTAAACGGGGCCAACTAAACCCAATCGAATCGAACCCACTTTACCCCATTTACCCCGGAAGTTGGAGGCGATCACGCGATGATAGATTGCCAATTGATCAATTTGAAGTGACGCACTATGAGCGGTCAGCAATTTGGATAATCGTGGGATTATGTCTAACTACAGTGGATACAATGCATACTTCTACATCTGCTTTATAATTCAATTCTTCAATATAATTTTACAGGATTTTGGAAGCCCTGGCATTATGCCCTTAATGATGTAACGTCCTTCGTTATAATTCAATGTCTTCAAATAATTTAAATAGTTTTTAGAGATTTCAATAGGAATTATGAATTTCAATAAATTTCAATCTACATTTTTTATGGGTCGCAATTTGATTAGCAAAGAGCAATAACATATGTACCTTCACTATCGCCTAATTATAGACATCATGACTACTAAAAATGTATTATTAGTACCATTTTGGTACTCAACTAATCTATGGGGGCCATAAAATATATGTTTACAATGTTTAAACAAAGCGCGCATAATTATATAACAAACGTTTGTGAATATTTAGCACAATACCAAGTATGTAACCTAAGAAGCCCTCCGAGCTCTTTTATTAATCCGTATTCAAACACCCCTTCAAAATAATTCATAACCAATGAGATAATGCACTCTTCGCTAAAAATCAAAGTGCCTCGTAGTCACATAAAATATTTGATTTATTGCACATCAAATTTGCACAATCATTTAATATTCAAGTACCAGTTTAAATTATTGACCGACTCAAGTATTGAACTGGCATAATACCATAGCTGAAATTCCTTAATGCCTGACTATTATATCACAGAATGTTTGTAAAATGTTGATACCAAAGTATTCTTTTATAAAACAAAATAAGTCTGTAAACAAACCAAGCTGGTGTCTTAATTCTTTCCTTAATCTAAGTAGATAAAATCAACAAACGGAACAAAATCTATTAAGAATAACAATAATAAGAAAGGAAAGGTTTAGCCTAAAACTTTAAGGTAAAATATATAAAAATATTTCACGTTTTCTATCACAAATTAAGTTAGACTCTCAATATCGTAACATATACTTACTGGTTTGCATTTCAGTGCACAGAACCGCAAAGATCAGGGTCTTCACGATCTTCCGCCAATGATCGTTCAGCTGCATTTCGACAATGTTGTTTCCGATCACAAAATTCACAAGGAAAAATAAGAAAAAAATAGCTGATCACGAAATACTACGATGTTCAATGTGATCCCAAGTTTATTTTTACACGGGGAGAGCACTACGGTTCACCTGTCGGGAGCTCCGATCAATGAATGAAGAAATTATAGCGCGAGCTTCTTTCCTAATTCAAACGAACGCAAATTCGCAAAAGCGTTCTTAGATAATTCCATCATTTTTTGTTTTGGTTTTGTGAGATTTGATTCCGAGTCGCTTGTTATTGTTGTTGTTGTGGACGATGTCGGGCGATAAGGCAATAGCAACATACGATCCAGTCACCAATACAGCGATATAGCCGAATCGAACTGAACCGAATCGAATAATAAACAAACACACACGCTCAATCGAAATCGATAAGAACGCAATAATCATTTTTTTTTTTTTTTTTTTTTTTGTTGGTGTATTTTGTTTATATTCTCCATCCAGGCTTCAAATGGATTTGGAATTTATCAGGTCCCTTTATTGTCTTTAGACTTAACATTTAAATCTATTGAGTAAGCATGGATTAAATTACTCTTCTGATAAAGCTAAAATTTTGTAATGAAAAATATGTTCTAGTAAAACTATTTCATGCTTAATTATTTCATGAGGAATGTACTTTCTTTTAATTAATAGCTGGACCTATGTATGTATGACAAGCACACAGACAAAATAAGATTATACTTTGTATTTTAAGATGAATTTAATTTACAATTAATATCTATATCTTTCCTTTTTCAACTAAAATATAAAAATCTCAACAAATTAAAAATATTTATTCTTTAGCTACATTTTATATTCTTTTGATGACAAATAATAATAATGAATAAGTTCTCTTTTCCCTTAGGTGCATCGAAAATTATGCCTTCTTGTTGAAAACTATCAATTAAACATATGTAACATATATAAAAAACTTGAAGAAAACTAAAACGGAAAGTAGATTACATCGCGGAACGTGGCCGATATATAACAAACTTGAAGAAAACTAAAGCGGAAAGCAGATTACATCGCGGAACGTGGCCGATAAGGATCGATGGGCCTAGAGATTGCGGACACCGAAGCCCGAAGTTCCCGAAGATTAAGTGTGCTGTAACGAAACCTTGGGATGAACTACTCCGCATCATAATCTCAACGACAGATAGTACTTTATAGCACTCTCGATTGCCCAATGCAGCTGGACTCCTTGACCTTGTCTGCACATTTAAAGACCGATCGATTGGATTGGATTGAACTGGATTGGAACATATCGATCGCCCTGCAGTCACGGACACCACATTTTTCAGTCCCGTTCCGTCTGGTGCCATAAAGATTACCCATATCAGGTGGTCAGTTCCATTCATCGGACTAGTGAAATCAAGTTTCCTTTCTGCGCCGTAAACTATTTTTAGTTAACTAACAACAAAAGCAGCGATAGCCGAGCAACTATGGATTATATGAGGTGTTTGCGGAACTTGGAGCTAAGAATCTTTACCGACCGCCTGGAAGTAGGCTAACAAACTGTGAAACGAAAGGTTAATGTAACCGATAAATCAATCTATAAAACAAAGCTTTTGCACCAGCGAAATATTTAACTACACATGCTAGGAAAGGATACACAGATTTATTCTAGCATAAATATTTTGTATAACTCCTCAAATCAAATCAATACCTGGAAAGATAAAGCATATGTTCGATGGTAAAACATAATTTTAAATTTAAAGAAAAAATTATTGTTACACATATATTTTAAAGAAGCCCAATCCTACAAAACGTAGTCAAAGATAATACATTTATGTACGCCATAAATAATGGGTGTATTTGGTTAAAAAAATATATATAATTCTGTATATTTAGGTAAGCCTAAATGTATTTAATATCACTGATTAAAATTATATAAAAAAAAACGAATGTTTTAGTCCTTAGATAATACAGTTTTATTGCAGCTATCAGAACTGACTAGTCATTAGCCTCAGGGCGAGGAATCCGGGCAGGAGAAGGGTCAGAGTTCCGACCATGGCGGCCGTGGCGCCATTACCTCCATCTCCACTTCCACTGTCATCAATATCGTCATCACCATCACCGCTGCCATTTCCGCTGCCATTTCCACTTCCGTCTCCACTTCCATCGCCGCTTATATCACCGCTTCCGTCACCACTTCCATCACCACTCGAATCCTCGCCCAAGTTCTCCACTATCCAGTCGTAGTAATAGGACACCTCCGTGTAGACACCCGGTAATCTTGGCAGAGCGCATTGAATGCCCCAGGAAACAATGCCGGCCAGCTGACTTTGGCAGACCAATGGTCCACCGGAATCGCCGGAGCAGGCGTCCTTCTCACCCACCTCCAGATAGCCGGCGCAGATCATTCCCGGTCCAATCAGATGCCCCAGATCGGTGTCGTCGATGCAGTGCTGCTCACTAATCATCGGCACATCGACCGTCATCAGGATATCGGAGATGAAGCCATCCTCCCGATCGCCCCATCCCGTCACCTGGCAGACGACGCCCTCCGCAACGGGAAAGCGATTGAGGGCGATGGGACGAATGGTCGGGTGACCCGTGGGCACCGTTTCATTCAGCTGCAGCAGAGCGATGTCCTTGTCGTAGGTGGACAGGACGAACTTGTCCAGCTGCATTATCCGCTGTTCGATCGTGAAGGTCAGCGTGTTGGTGCGATTGTAGCGGTCCAGGTTGCCCATCACCACGATGAACTCCTCCTTGGGCACGAAGGTGCCGTCGTATATTACCTGACTGGTAAAAAGTAAATGATTAGAAAACGAATTAAATTAACTACTCATAACCCTTTATGATGATGATAACATAACACTTTAAAATGCGATTTTATACCCCGTTAATTAACTATCTAATAATCCACATTATAATCTATAATTTAAATGTCAGTCAATTGTTTAAACCAATCCATGCTAATTATTAGTTTTTGATATTATTGAATCAATACCTTGAAAAAGGTGACCTCAAACTTCACTTTTTCATATTGAACTCCGATTTTAAAGTGAAATACCTCTATAAGATAATGATTTAATAAGTTATGATCCACTAAAGATCGCATTCCTTGGTCTTGAAAAATAATATACTTAAGATTTACAGTATACTAATTTTAAAGCCTTACCTAACACATGTTTACTGACTTTGTGACACATAGCCATTACTACTATAAATTTAATTAAACGACAGATATTGAAAGCCGATAAGGTGGTAGCAAAAGTTTTAAATTAACTTGATTTTTACTACAGATTACAGACCACAGACACACGTTCTTGGCGTGTTGGAAAAGGGCATACTTATATTGACTAAACTTGTAGTTGTATATTCCTGGTCAGACTTACTCGACAAAACAATGAGCGGCGGTGAGAACCCATCCCGGTCGAATCAGTGATCCGCCGCAGAGGTGTCCTGTCCCAAAAAAGTATCCATCGTTGAGGGCCTTGCGGATGCCCACCTGGTGCCTGGTGGCCCCCAAAGTAGCCTCCGTTCCATTGATAATCCTGCCGGGATCCACGCTGAATCTCGGTCGAATGGCCTGCGAACCCAAGGCAGTCTGTCGCACGGCACCTAAGGATAGATTGGTTTTTAAATAAACTATATCCAGTGTATAAGCCACACCAACCTCTCAGTCCCGCTGGCAAGGAGGTGAGCAGCAGGACCACCGCCAAAAGTTGTCCCAATCCAATCATTCTGACCATCTAAATGCTAACTCCCCGACGTGGCGATGCCAACTAATGCAGGAGCCGAACCCACTTGTCCAATATCGCCGCCAAAAAGAAATCTGGCTTCGGACAGGCATCCTAATCTTATCAATACACATCGTACAACACCATGGAACACCGAAGAAACACCGGACTGACTTGTCATCGCCGAACACCTACGAACTGCAGCCTTATGTTTTAAGTGGCACCGCTGGATTTTCCAATCTCTGGGTTTTCCACACCGATTTATGGGGCTCTTGAACAGCGGGGAACTACCAGGGGATTTCCCAAAAAGTGTGTCCAAAAATAAATGGTCACGATCTCCGTATCTCTTATTAAATTATATTTTAATAAAGTTTTATAATTATAATCAAGGTATTCATTAATATCCATTTCCTTAAAAAAATTAAAACCAATTACGACAAGGAAGTATTGTCCGAAAAAGTAAAAGGTTAAGAGCCTCTCAAATCAGAAAAAAGCTTCCGGTAGGATTTCACAATTCTCCAGAAATCATATATCTTTGATCACCAATGCCAAGTCATTGCCCATTGTTCGATTTCAATTAATAAATAACAATGTGCAAACAGAATTGATTATTCAGGGAAACTTGTGGTAACATGGCAAATAAACAATTTATACAAAATCAAAAGCTACGATAGGGAAATATTAAACACAAAGAGTCCCGACCAAAAGTTACTCATCCTCACTGAATTTCAATCTAGGTCAATTTTGATTTTTGGTAAACAGTAAACAAAGTAATAGCTTTATATCTCGTTCAAATGAATGTATATTTACATTACCATAAAAACAATAACAATTAAAAAAGGGATTGTCAGTTTTATTGAGCAATTTCACGGTTTATAACCGACGCCTTGGTGAAGGTCATCGTCTCTTTAGAATCACTTGAAAAATTCAATGCCCCAAATATTAGAATTAGAAAAAATTTCGGAAGCTTTGAAGTTGTATAAAAAGTGGTCTTAAAAAGTAGATACAATTCAAATTGCAGTTTGCTTATAATTCCCAATAAATTATTTGGGTAACTTTAGGAGGAAGTTTCTGTGGAAATTATTTAAATCGTTCATTTTTATTCGTTTATTCGTCATTTATTTAAGAGGGCCTGAATAGTACCCTGTAATCAGGGTACGAAGAGGGTCTGGTTACAGGGTACTAATTGGACCATCTTCTTACCACTGAGTAAACCTATCTGATGTCATTAATGTCGTCGATCACCGTCAACTATTGGACAATCTACAAGTGGGGTGCCTTCTCCTTCTCGACGCGATTAGATAAATCAGTTGTAAAACAGACAAGAGAAAGCGATTTATTGAGCTGTCCAATCGTCAAAGAAGGCCCATGATAAGCCCCAGAAGGCCAAGATCCAATAGCAGCAAAGATATACATCGGCGGCTGGCCAGATTTAGCGGCGACATTTGCCGATATTCTGAGTAGTCCAGCGAGTTGTTGGCAGCCCGAATCCACTCCAAAAAGTTCGAGACATTGGTATAAACACCCGGATAGCCGGGATCCGCACAGCCCACTCCCCACGATATTATCCCGGCCAGATGTCCGGCGCAGATCAGCGGTCCGCCGGAGTCTCCTTGGCAGGCGTCGATACCGCCCTGCAGAAATCCGGCGCACATCTGGGACGTGGGCAACTTGTAGATCACCTGGCACAGCTCTCTGCTCAGGATCGGTACTGGTGCCTGCTGCAGCGAAGCCGATTTGTCCTTCTGTGGGTGTAGACAACTTATATAGCCATGGAATTCACGGACGCTCTCTTATACGGACACTATTTTATTGCAAGTTTCTGGTACTTGAGCAGATACTTTTACTACTTATGCATATGTCCTTGACAGGAAATCGTTTGTCAGACACTCTCTTATGCGGACAAACATATTTTGGTGAAGATTCAGTTAACATCTGCTTCAAACTTATTAAGAATCATCGTGTAACAGCCAAATAGTAACGGACGTTCCCTTATCCGGACACAAGTTTGTTAGGTAAACTAAGGAAACTGTTGCCTAAGACTTTAACAGACGCTCTCTTGAACGGACAAAAGCAAGAGTGAAATGGGAGTACTTACCCCAGAGACTTTTCCCCAGCCGTGGATGAGGCAGGTGGTGCCCTCTTCGGGCGCTTCGATGGCCAACGGAATAGCCTTCACCGCACGCGAACTCCACGGGATGAAGCCGTTGAGGAAGAGCAGGGCGATGTCGTTCTCCAGCGTTGTGCTGTTGTACCGCTCGTGGCCGATGATCCGCTGCACCAGGTATTCCTGGGTGAATCTATCCGCCCGATCGATGGAGCTGCTGCCGCCTACGACCACATAAAGCTCCGGATCACGATAGTGCAACGCTATCGAGGTATTTCTGAAAGTTGGACCGCACTCTATACATTTCAAGTGGTTTCATTAGGAAGCGCACTGGGCGAAATTACGGATAGTTTGTTTATAATTATGATTTTCTTGGATACTAAAACAGTTGCATTAATCATCTTAATATTTAGAAATTTATGTAATGTTAAATCATAACCATGCGATTTATATGAGTATTCTGGTACTGTACTTTATGATCTTAATTAATGCATTTATGTTCAATGATAAATATTTGATAACCTTTATGATTTTTAAAAATCTGTATTTTAAATCTGAATTAGTTAAGAATAATCTGTTTTAAACTGTGCTTTCGTAAGTCTTTCCTAACTTTATCTAGGCCAAGTTTAAGGTGAGTTTTCGACAGAAAGTCGCGAATTTCGCCCAGTGTATAGGGGCTATCACCCACATGGCGTAGCAGTGGGCCGCCGAGCAGATGACCCGCTGGGAGATGACCGCTCCGCCGCACACGTGACCCATCCCGTAGTGCCGCTCGTGGATCGATCGCTTCCTCACGGACACTTGGAAGGGCACCTGGTCAATGGTCACCGAGTAGCCGCCCACCACCTTCGGCAGGATCACGAAGGACAAGGCTGTGGTCTTCGGTGCGTGTATTTGAGGACGGGTCTTTCCTGGGTAGGCCGCCAAAATCAACGACACCAGCATCCACAGGCACGTCCATTGGTGATCCATCGGGGGCGGTAACACCCCTCAAACTTCTTTGAATCCCAAAACACAAATCCGACGAAAATAACGAACAATAATAAATCAAATTAACAAAAACTGCCAGACCGTTGATGTTTAAATCGATGTTGCAGCGATGAAAGTCATTTCAATATTTATAAGCAATCTTGAGCTGACATCTTGTTAACTATTATTTTGCATAATTTATTACCAAATTTAGAAACCTTTTTTATAAACTGCAGGAAGCCTTTATACTTTGATTCCATTGTAATGTGTTATAATACTTCAGCCGCTTATATGGATTCCTAAGTAATGCCTAACCAAATTGATTACAAACGCCTATCATTTTAGTAGAGGCAAGTCTTATTTAAAAAAAGTTTAAATAAATTTATTTATTTGCTATTTGGGCTAGAAAAGCTACAACTAGATTCTGTGATCCAGGATGAAGGCCAGGATTAGAGCAAGGCATCCGAGGAGGGACCACCTCGATCCCAGACGTATTCCACCGCTGTGATAAATCGAGTAGTTCAGCGAATTGTTCTGCTGAACGATCCATCCGTTGTAAAACGAGACATTGGTGTAGACACCCGGAAACCCGGCCACTGCGCATCCGGAGCCGTAGGAAACGAGTCCGGCCAACTGTCCGTTGCATCTCAGGGGTCCACCGGAGTCGCCCTGGCAGGCATCAGTACCTCCGGTCCAATACCCAGCACACACCTGGGAACTCGGAATTGGTCCGTATGAAATCTGGCAGGTGGTCTGCGAGATTATGGGCACCGTGGCCGCCTGCAGACTATTGCTGCTGGATGTTGCGCTCTGGAAAGAAATGCAGAATATATTAGATATACAGCAGCGAATAATTTTAAAAATATGAAAGCTATTACCATTGAGAACAGAATTTGAAAAATAGATATAATAATATATATAATGATAAATCTAGAGTGCCTAGATATATAAAATGCTTTACTAATCCTATCTTGTATCATTCGTTTGATTAGTCTAAAAATTATGTATTTTCCTGTTGGATATAAAATTCCTAACATTTTACCAAGAGCATCGGACAATACCGATATGAAAACTTGGTTTATATTCTGTAAGAAAACTACTGGTATTTGTGTAAATTCTCTGGAGGTGATTAGCACTCACCTGCTGGAGCAAACCCCAACCAGAGATCAGGCAATCGGTGCCTGTGGCCACAACTTGGCTGCTTAGAGCCAAAGCCTTCACTGTTGGCCATCCCCAGGGAATATATCCGTTGATGAACATCAGCGCAATGTCGTTGGTCAGCGAGGTCGCATCGTAGTTCTCATGGGCGATCAGTTGCTGCAGGTAGTACTCCAATGTAAGATTGGTGGAGCTTCTCAAATATGAACTGCCCATGACCAGGACGTATTCGCCAGCCGTTCGATATTTGTTTGTTTTCGTGCTAAAAAGTTAGAAAAAAAGATTATATTATTTTTGAAAAAATAAATAAATAATACTTTTACAAACTTATAACAACAGTGGGCGGCGGTGGCCACCAAACGCTGGGAAATGACCACTCCGCCGCACAAATGACCGGATCCATAGCTCTTCTTATCGTTGGCGGTCAGACGAATGGACACCTGGTAGGGAATCTGATCTATGGATATCGCACTACCTCCCACGATCTTGGGTTCGATCTTTGCGGCTTCTGGATTGATCGTTTCGGTATCCAAATCTGCAAGAACAATAAATTCGATTAAATATTTCCAGATTCTATTAAATACAAATATTTCAAAAAATGTGTTAGTTAATATAAGACACATTGGAATTAAATAATATATATATCAGGATTAAAAATCGGTCATGAACAACACTCGACAAACCCCCTGGCAACTGACTACCTATAGCAAATATGTATCTGAACAATAGTTGTTTTTCATAGAATAGAGATAGGTGGAATTGTTGTCTTAACAATAAAGCACTTCAGAATTACGATACAAGTATTTGGTTTATAGCTCCTTACGGGAACGGAAAACAAAGCAATCTAATCGAAGTTGTTGTGATGACCACTCCTCGGAAAATTAGTTGAATAATTACTGTTTGCCATTGTTTATTGCGAAAATCTTTATTAGTCATAAAAAATCGTTTTCAGACATTTGTTTTGTTTAAAACAAAAATGAAATATTGAGTCATAGCCATAATCATTATATTCATTTCCTACCTTCGTTTAATAAAATTTAAAGTATAATCAAAAAGATTCCACAAAAAGATATAATTGTAAACGAAATTTTGTGATTAAAAATTTATAAATTTTAGAAATAAAATCAAAACCCAGAGTTGCTTATTTAAATTAAAATAAATTTATATTTAATTTTTTTAACATTTACAAAAACAAAAAAACCATATATTACACACATCCATGGGGATTTTTTTGTTTCACATAAAGCTCGGAAACTTTTATTAACATGATGTTTTTTTTATCTTGGGTAATAACCGCGTACTTTTGGTAAAAAAAAATAACAAAAACAAAGGAATTTTCATGGTCTTTGGGGACTTGGGCTTTACCCAATATCAAATTTATACGGAAATGTATTCAGTGTTAACTAGTAATAGTTTGATAGCTTTTTGAAGGTAAATAAAAGATATATTTTGGCAACACTATTTATGGGTAATATAGATTGATAACAACCAATCCATGACTCACTTTCGCCGGCGGCAAGAACTCCTAAGAGTAGCGATATAGCCACCCAAAGTTTAGCCATTTCTGTTGCACTATTTACGATCCAAACTATATATATACTTTCAAATGGTCGTCCGTTACAATTATCGACCGAATTTCTTGAATCGAGCCACCGCAATGAGCCATCAGACCCATGGCCAGTTGATATTACTTGTGGGTGCCTATGGTTTATCTTATCACTAACTGTGCGTAAATTGAATGTTGCCAAAGCCCCAAAGCAGCCCATCGACAACAGAGTTCTATGGCTCGATCGGGGGCCATAAAAGTAAACAAATGCCAAATCAGAGCAAAATTCATTTTTGATTTCAATAGCACTAATGGTGAATAGATATGGACACCGGGGTGACCCCAAATCCATGGCGTTATAGCAACTATACCAAGCTTAAAAACATGTAGTTCATTTTCGCATAAACAAGCTTATACACTCATCTATATTTTGTTGGGAAAAATGCCCATATAATTTTGCTATGCTAACATTTTTTAACTAAGAATTCATTAATTAAATATTCATTTGAATATCTTACCATAAATCCTTAAAGTTATTGTGCTCAAAAAAAAATACCACTTGCTAAAAATTATAATAACCATGAATCTCGGAGTGGCGCTCCCACATAAAACCGTGACTAATCGGCTGATAAGTAGACATGGATTTTTCCCGACATTAAACCGGAATAATTAGATATCGTTCAATATGGTTGTGTGAGATAAGAATTCTATACATGTACAGGGATTTAGCCTGCTTATATAATGATGGTCCTTTGATAATCCTTCTCATTCAAATCAACAAAGCTAAACATCGATCACTCTTAGGTATTTCATGGATTGACAACGGAACTCTGTGTATTTTTGTTAATTACCAAATTGAATGTATTATAATTTATTAATATGGAATTGTATTCCCTTATCACTGGGGATTTATTGTGTCCGATTTAATCATTTATAACAAAAACACATATGGAGCAGAGCTAAAAATCGACTTGCAGCACCATTTAGAGTGAGAGTATATCCGTACTCCTCTTACTTGTTAACTTCATGTTTCTCAATCAGTTTTTTGGTAATAGCAGTTGTTCGTTTAAGTATGGCTTTAATCTCGTCCAGCTCAGTTAGACCATTTTCGGGAACCTCGTACTCTACTTCAGAGACAAGGGTTTCGATTTTTGCAATGGCTTCTATAGGAGAATCAACAATTTCTTGAACTGATGCCGGATTCTGTGGGATGATTTCTACCTTTTCGAAAGATCTTTCGAGTTCCTCCTCATCTTCGTCTGAAGAAGAAAAAAAACCACCTTCCTTGGATGCGTTTTCCTGGACAGGCTCTGATTTAATTGTGGTAGTTCCTACGGTTGCATCTACTTTTTTTAGCTTTGAAAAACTTTCATGATTAATCTTGGCTGATGTTGAGGGTCCATCCACCTCGATCATAGTTTCTTTCTTAACTGCTGGCTTATTCTCCGTAAACCAATCGTCCACGTTTGTCTCCTGTGAACTCTGCGAGCTTTTGTACTCGATGTGAGGTTTAGAACGGCGCTGCATTACCTTGCGCTCCATATGATTGATATTGCTTTCCAGAGCCTTCCGCTTTCTAAATATATTCAAAATATAAATGAGTTTTTTTTTTACATAGTATGGGTTTCCTAAATCAAACCTATTGCGTGGAGTCAATTTGGGGGTGACTGTTCCTGCAGAGCCAGTTGGCGGTGTCTTGTATTTTACATCGTGCGGCATTGGTGCAGCAAAGGCAGAAGACTTCATCGCGGGAACTTCTACTGCCAATACGTCCTTCACTTTCTGGTAAGCACTGGCATCTTCCAGCAATTTCTGGTGCTCTTCCTTAAAAGCCTCGATATCGAAAGGCTTTGTCACAGCAGTCACTAAAAGAGTAAGTAGAGCTTATTAAGGCCATAAATAAAGAAACTAATTTAAAAAACCATATTCAATGATGTGAGAAAACTTACTTCCTTTTTGGTGTAAGACATTAGACATTATAAAGTAGGTAAAAACCAATTGAACATAAAATCTTTCATTCATACAAAGACGCTTGTATGTAGAAAAATCACTTTGAGCAGTTATATATTATTTTTAGCAATGCAATATGGAGATGGAAACTACAATTTTTGGAGCCTATACAGAACTTAATTAAAGAAAAACTCCTATTTTTTAAGTGTATTACGATTGTAAGCCCGAAACTAACCCCTGCGCAGCTTGCATCCCTCGGTGCGAAACTGTTTCAGCTCCTTGTCCTTGGATCGTAGAACCTCTATCAAGAAGGACACCTGATCCCGTAGTCCGCCAGTCGTGGACACTGAATTCATGCAGACCTCGCGATAGAACTATGGGGAATTATAGAGGGTATCATTATAAATCCCTAGATTTAGTTGGGATTAATCAGTTTCTAACCTGTGCATTGTTTAGGGGACTCAAGTGCCAGTTCCATTTTAGAGGCACTGCGGTATTGACCATGGAATACTTCAGACTGAGAATTGAAGATTCATGTTTACTATCGGCAAATTCGGCATGTGAAGGATCTGATTTAAGCAGAGCCAGACGCACTGCATCCTCTGGGAACTTTACACGTGCATTGAGCGTCTGTGGAGATTGTTTTTTAATAAATACCTAGTTAATAACCATTATTATCTTACAATCTCACCTTCAAACGCTGCTGAAAAACATCTTTCGCCAAAGTCTCTGAGTAACTCACATTATTTTGGGTATTGTGTATATAAAGAGTTATGTCTTTATCAACGCCCTCTTCAAAGCAGGTAAATAAATGCTGCTCACCATTTATATCCACTGTTTTTAGCAACATTTTGAAATACAAACTGAAAACACACTCAAAATATTATTAAATGCCAAAAGCAGCTGTTCACTGTTCAGTAACAGAATATGTAAACACAGAATCAGCTGTTGGGCGCACTGTAGTTTTTTAATAAGGGTATTCCAATTACTTACTTAGTTTATATCCTAGATATGTATGTTAAATTTTTATTTTTCCTTATTGATGTATTGATTCTACATAGCTAACAAATATTAAACAACTTGCCTTTTTTTATTTTACACGTAAGAATTATCAAAGCTTTAATATTGATAAACAATATTTTTATATTCAGCAACTTAACTGGAACAAATTATTAATACATGGGTTTAATGAATACTCTTGCTGCTATGTTAGCTTCCCCATGTTAACTGAATGTTAGAAAAGTTAATCGAGCTGTTAAGTGTCCTGCCATTCTTTATCATTCTTATCAACGCCCTCTTCAAAGCAGGTAAATAAATGCTGCTCACCATTTATATCCACTGTTTTTAGCAACATTTTGAAATACAAACTGAAAACACACTCAAAATATTATTAAATGCCAAAAGCAGCTGTTCACTGTTCAGTAACAGAATATGTAAACACAGAATCAGCTGTTGGGCGCACTGTAGTTTTTTAATAAGGGTATTCCAATTACTTACTTAGTTTATATCCTAGATATGTATGTTAAATTTTTATTTTTCCTTATTGATGTATTGATTCTACATAGCTAACAAATATTAAACAACTTGCCTTTTTTATTTTACACGTAAGAATTATCAAAGCTTTAATATTGATAAACAATATTTTTATATTCAGCAACTTAACTGGAACAAATTATTAATACATGGGTTTAATGAATACTCTTGCTGCTATGTTAGCTTCCCCATGTTAACTGAATGTTAGAAAAGTTAATCGAGCTGTTAAGTGTCCTGCCATTCTTGATATCGATAACATTTTTTACCGCCAGATTTTGAATTCAAAAAACCCTTAAAGAGAAATTACTTAATTTCGTTTCACATATATTTTTAATAGATATTTTATTTCGTTTTAAACATATTTTTTGTATGTAATACATATTGTTTGTGTTCGTTTTCGTTAGCTTATCAAAAAATTCACTTCATTTTCGTTTTATGTTACCGATTAACTAGATTCCATAGTTTATGTTTTTTTAATTTCACTACCAAGAGAAATGTATTTATCTCTAGAACAACACGTGCCCGTGTGTATTTATAATAAGTATTTCAATTAACTAATCCACGCGTACGTCGGCATTAAATGTATATTTATATAGACATGTATTTATATTATATATTATGTAATATTAAGATCCTAAATGTGTAGATCAGTTATAGTTGTGACCCGAGGTGTACAACAAATTAAAGTGGGAATCGATTTAGGAAAGGGTTATTGTTTGTCGGGGCCTTAAACTAGCCTCGTCTAGCTGTCTTTTATCCTTGTGATCCTAGATCAGCCTGTGGCGTCGTTTGAGATTTTTATGTAGTTTCTTCATGGTTGTGGCGTTGGTTGGTCCTCAAATCTGCGGACGTGTCCATAGATCGCTCAGATCCTTCTTCAGCTTGCCCAGCTCTGCAAGTAGGGATTGGTTTGGACTTAATTACCCAGTGAGTTGGTTTGGCCTTCGCCCAGTATATATATCTAACTTACCCAACTGAGCTGGCAGGACACCGCCATTTCGAAATCCCAAATCGAAGCGTGGCTGAACTCCCAACTGGCTCGCCGAGGTGGATCCCGAGTTCCGGAAGGCGGTGCCACTAAATAGGGATGAAGTTGGGATTAAAATTTTGGACTTGAACCTTGAACCTAATTCCATCGCACCTATAAGGATGCTTCAGGCAGCCGTACACCTCGCGATAACGCCCATAAAGAGTGCCGTAGGAAACGCCCAGGATGCGGGCGGCCTTCTTCATCTCGAGTCTTTTGTTTTTGATGGCATCCAACACCTGAAAAATTCAAATAACAAAATATTTTTAAGTCAGAAAAATTGTTTCAAGGGGTATATGAAAATAAAGAATATATATTTTAGCTGTTGACCATGTATAATTATTTTTTATGGATTTTTGACAACCTTTGTTCCTTTTCCCCTGAACAATCATTCTATTTGTAAGGTTTTTGCAGTTAATTTATGATGAAATAGCATTGTCACGCCCTAAACAATTAGTTTAATTTGCTTTTTTCCATTGAATCATTCTAAATTTGTAGTTTGGCATCAAGAAAAACTACAAAACAAAGATGATTGCCAGGTTTTCAAAAGGGGAAAAAAACGAAGGCCATTAAAAAAACCAATATTTCATTAAAAGCATTGTCAAAAATATCCAGAAACAAGAAAGGAAAGCTAACTTCGGGCGGAGCCGAAGTTGATATACCCTTGCAGAATACTCTGTAAATTATATTCTCCAAAATTATTCATATGATGCATTCTTAATACTCATAAAAAATCCGAACTTCCTAACTTTAACAACAACAAAGTTATGGCATTTCCAATCGTTCAGTTATATGGCAGCTATAGGATATAGTCGGCCGATCCTTATGAAATTTGATAGGTCGGATTGATTGGCCAAAAATAAAATCCATAGAAAATCCCAACTTCCTAACTTTACAAACACCAAAGTTATGGCATTTCTGATCAATCAGTTATATGGCAGCTATAGGATATAGTCGGCCGATCCTTATGAAATTTGGTAGGTCGGATTGATTGGCCAAAAATAAAATCCATAGAAAATCCCAACTTCCTAACTTAACAAACACCAAAGTTATGGCATTTCCGATCAATCAGTTATATGGCAGCTATAGGATATAGTCGGCCGATCCTTATGAAATTTGGTAGGTCGGATTGATTGGCCAAAAATAAAATCCATAGAAAATCCCAACTTCCTAACTTAACAAACACCAAAGTTATGGCATTTCCGATCAATCAGTTATATGGCAGCTATAGGATATAGTCGGCCGATCCTTATGAAATTTGGTGGGTCGGATTGATTGGCCAAATATAAGACCCATAGAAAATCCCAACTTTCTAACTTTACAAACACCAAAGTTATGGCATTTCCGATCAATCAGTTATATGGCAGCTATAGGATATAGTCGGCCGATCCTTATGAAATTTGGTAGGTCGGATTGATTGGCCAAATATAAAACCCATAGAAAATCCCAACTTTCTAACTTTACAAACACCAAAGTTATGGCATTTCCGATCAATCAGTTATATGGCAGCTATAGGATATAGTCGGCCGATCCTTATGAAATTTGGTAGGTCGGATTGATTGGCCAAATATAAAACCCATAGAAAATCCCAACTTCCTAACTTTACAAACACGGAAGTTATGGCATTTCCGATCAATCAGTTATATGGCAGCTATAGGATATAGTCGGCCGATCCCGGCCGTTCCGACTTATATACTGCGTGCAAAGGAAAGAAGGGTGTGTGCAAAGTTTCAATCCGATAGCTTTAAAACTGAGAGACTAGTTTGCGTAGAAACAGACAGACGGACAGACGGACAGACGGACAGACGGACAGACGGACAGACGGACAGACGGACAGACGGACATGGCTATATCAACTCAGGAGGTGATCCTGATCAAGAATATATATACTTTATAGGGTCGGAGATGTCTCCTTCACTGCGTTGCACACTTTTGACCAAAATTATAATACCCTCTGCAAGGGTATAAAAAGTGAAACGATTTCAAACAGGTTTTTGTCAATATTCCTTAGTAAAATATTGACCTTGTTCTGCCAAAATCATTTATTAAATGCATATTTTAATATTTGTTGGCGAATTCATGCCATTTTTATATCTTTGCAGTATTATAATTTCAGGCATAAAGTATATATTTTCTTTATCAGCAACACCAACGATGTCTTATAATAGAGTGACCCAAAATTGGACTTCTAGAGTCCATAACTTTACCAAATTTAATCCGATTTCAAAGTGGCATACCTCTAAAGACTCGTGATTCGATTCTCTAAAAATCTGCATTCAAAATTTTCAATTTAACGTTGATCAAATTTTTGACCCATTTTCATGTAAGTTATTTCTAATTTTCCGATGTCTTGTAATAGAGTGACCCAAAATTGGACTTCTAGAGTCCATAACTTTACCAAATTTAATCCGATTCCAAAGTGGCATACCTCTAAAGACTCGTGATTCGATTCTCTAAAAATCTGCATTCAAAATTTTCAATTTAACGTTGATCAAATTTTTGACCCATTTTCATGTAAGTTATTTCTAATTTTCCGATGTCTTGTAATAGAGTGACCCAAAATTGGACTTCTAGAGTCCATAACTTTACCAAACTTAATTCGATTCCAAAGTGGCATACCTCTAAAGACTCGTGATTCGATTCTCTAAAAATCTTGCATCCCTCGGTGCGAAACTGTTTCAGCTCCTTGTCCTTGGATCGTAGAACCTCTATCAAGAAGGACACCTGATCCCGTAGTCCGCCAGCCGTGGACACTGAATTCATGCAGACCTCGCGATAGAACTATGGGGAATTATAGAGGGTATCATTATAAATCCCTAGATTTAGTTGGGATTAATCAGTTTCTAACCTGTGCATTGTTTAGGGGACTCAAGTGCCAGTTCCATTTTAGAGGCACTGCGGTATTGACCATGGAATACTTCAGACTGAGAATTGAAGATTCATGTTTACTATCGGCAAATTCGGCATGTGAAGGATCTGATTTAAGCAGAGCCAGACGCACTGCATCCTCTGGGAACTTTACACGTGCATTGAGCGTCTGTGGAGATTGTTTTTTAATAAATACCTAGTTAATAACCATTATTATCTTACAATCTCACCTTCAAACGCTGCTGAAAAACATCTTTCGCCAAAGTCTCTGAGTAACTCACATTATTTTGGGTATTGTGTATATAAAGAGTTATGTCTTTATCAACGCCCTCTTCAAAGCAGGTAAATAAATGCTGCTCACCATTTATATCCACTGTTTTTAGCAACATTTTGAAATACAAACTGAAAACACACTCAAAATATTATTAAATGCCAAAAGCAGCTGTTCACTGTTCAGTAACAGAATATGTAAACACAGAATCAGCTGTTGGGCGCACTGTAGTTTTTTAATAAGGGTATTCCAATTACTTACTTAGTTTATATCCTAGATATGTATGTTAAATTTTTATTTTTCCTTATTGATGTATTGATTCTACATAGCTAACAAATATTAAACAACTTGCCTTTTTTTATTTTACACGTAAGAATTATCAAAGCTTTAATATTGATAAACAATATTTTTATATTCAGCAACTTAATTGGAACAAATTATTAATACATGGGTTTAATGAATACTCTTGCTGCTATGTTAGCTTCCCCATGTTAACTGAATGTTAGAAAAGTTAATCGAGCTGTTAAGTGTCCTGCCATTCTTGATATCGATAACATTTTTTACCGCCAGATTTTGAATTCAAAAAACCCTTAAAGAGAAATTACTTAATTTCGTTTCACATATATTTTTAATAGATATTTTATTTCGTTTTAAACATATTTTTTGTATGTAATACATATTGTTTGTGTTCGTTTTCGTTAGCTTATCAAAAAATTCACTTCATTTTCGTTTTATGTTACCGATTAACTAGATTCCATAGTTTATGTTTTTTTAATTTCACTACCAAGAGAAATGTATTTATCTCTAGAACAACACGTGCCCGTGTGTATTTATAATAAGTATTTCAATTAACTAATCCACGCGTACGTCGGCATTAAATGTATATTTATATAGACATGTATTTATATTATATATTATGTAATATTAAGATCCTAAATGTGTAGATCAGTTATAGTTGTGACCCGAGGTGTACAACAAATTAAAGTGGGAATCGATTTAGGAAAGGGTTATTGTTTGTCGGGGCCTTAAACTAGCCTCGTCTAGCTGTCTTTTATCCTTGTGATCCTAGATCAGCCTGTGGCGTCGTTTGAGATTTTTCTGTAGTTTCTTCATGGTTGTGGCGTTGGTTGGTCCTCAAATCTGCGGACGTGTCCATAGATCGCTCAGATCCTTCTTCAGCTTGCCCAGCTCTGCAAGTAGGGATTGGTTTGGACTTAATTACCCAGTGAGTTGGTTTGGCCTTCGCCCAGTATATATATCTAACTTACCCAACTGAGCTGGCAGGACACCGCCATTTCGAAATCCCAAATCGAAGCGTGGCTGAACTCCCAACTGGCTCGCCGAGGTGGATCCCGAGTTCCGGAAGGCGGTGCCACTAAATAGGGATGAAGTTGGGATTAAAATTTTGGACTTGAACCATGGATAATTCCTTCGCACCTATAAGGATGCTTCAGGCAGCCGTACACCTCGCGATAACGCCCATAAAGAGTGCCGTAGGAAACGCCCAGGATGCGGGCGGCCTTCTTCATCTCGAGTCTTTTGTTTTTGATGGCATCCAACACCTGCAAAATTCAAATAAGAAAATATTTTTAAGTCAGAAAAATAGTTTCAAGGGGTATATGAACATAGAAAATGTATATTTTAGCTGTTGACCAAGTATAATTATTTTTTATGGATTTTTGACAACCTTTGTACCTTTTCCCCTGTACAATCATTCTATTTGTAAGGTTTTTGCAGTTAATTTATGATGAAATAGCATTGTCACGCCCTAAACAATTAGTTTAATTTGCTTTTTTCCATTGAATCATTCTAAATTTGTAGTTTGGCATCAAGAAAAACTACAAAACAAAGATGATTGCCAGGTTTTCAAAAGGGGGAAAAAACGAAGGCCATTAAAAAAACCAATATTTCATTAAAAACATTGTCAAAAATATCCAGAAAAAAGTGAAACGATTTCAAACAGGTTTTTGTCAATATTCCTTAGTAAAATATTGCCCTTGTTCTGCCAAAATCATTTATTAAATGCATATTTTAATATTTGTTGGCGAATTCATGCCATTTTTATACCTTTGCAGTATTATAATTTCAGGCATAATTTTGGGTCACTCTATTATAAGACATCGTTGGTGTTGCTGATAAAGTATCTATTCTTTATCAGCAACACCAACGATGTCTTATAATAGAGTGACCCGATTCCGAAGTGGCATACCTCTAAAGACTCGTGATTCTATTCTCTAAAAATCTGCATTCAAAATTTTCAATTTAACGTTTATCAGAATTTCGACCCATTTTCATGTTAGTTATTTCTAATTTTCCGATGTCTTGCAATAGAGTGACCCAAAATTGGACTTCTAGAGTCCATAACTTTACCAAATTTAATCCGATTCCAAAGTGGCATACCTCTAAAGACTCGTGATTCGATTCTCTAAAAATCTGCATTCAAAATTTTCAATTTACCGTTGACCAAATTTTTGACACATTTTCATGTTAGTTATTTCTAATTTTCCGATGTCTTGCAATAGAGTGACCCAAAATTGGACTTCTAGAGTCCATAACTTTACCAAATTTAATCCGATTCCAAAGTGGCATACCTCTAAAGACTCGTGATTCGATTCTCTAAAAATATGCATTCAAAATTTTCAATTTAACGTTTATCAGAATTTCGACCCATTTTCATGTTAGTTATTTCTAATTTTCCGTTGTCTTGTAATAGAGTGACCCAAAATTGGACTTCTACAGTCCATAAATTTACCAAATTTAATCCGATTCCAAAGTGGCATACCTCTAAAGACTCGTGATTCGATTCTCTAAAAATCTGCATTCAAAATTTTCAATTTAACTTTGGTCAAATTTTTGACCCATTTTCATGTTAGTTATTTCTAATTATCCGATGTCTTGTAATAGAGTGACCCAAAATTGGACTTCTAGAGTCCATAACTTTACCAAATTTAATCCGATTACAAAGTGGCATACCTCTAAAGACTCGTGATTCGATTCTCTAAAAATCTGCATTCAAAATTTTCAATTTACCGTTGATCAAATTTTTGACCCATTTTCATGTTAGTTATTTCTAATTTTCCGATGTCTTGTAATAGAGTGACCCAAAATTGGACTTCTAGAGTTCACAACTTTACCAAATTTAATCCGATTCCAAAGTGGCATACCTCTAAGGACTCGTGATTCAATTCTCTAAAAATCTGCATTTTCAATTAAAGGTTGATTAATTTTTGCCCCATTTCCCATTATTTCCATTATTTCGAATGTCCACAGTCGACACAGCTTCATTGTTTTTAGTAATATAAGCATAGAAACCGAAATGTAGTCGATTGTTTCTTGTTTTTAATATATTTAAATCTTTTTAGTTTAATTAAATTTAACACCATCCAGAAATTTATAAAATTCCAGATTTTAGTTCAAACTGGAAACCAATAAATAACTAATAAATATACATATAATATATACAATCCTGTAACTGAATGTTTCGAAATCGAATAAAATAAATGCAGTCAATATCAGCTAAAGGGTATTTGAATTCCGACAACATTATTAAGCAGGCACTTGTCCCCATCGTAATAATATATATATTAAAAAGCAACTTACCCGCTTGGTGAAGGGTTCCTCCCAGAACTGTGGACGACGCCCCTTGGCCAGATAGTCGTCCATCTTGATGACGTCCTGCCACTGCGACAGCTCCTCGTTCGTCAGCCGCAGTTCGGCGGCATCGTAGTCCTCCAGCTTGATGTCGGGATAGTCGGCGGACAGGCCACTGGATCCACCCGGATCCTGGCCACCGTTTCCGTTCCCACTTCCGTTTCCGGCCGAGGCATTAGCCACTGCGGCGGCGGCGGCTGCAACGGCAACGGCAGCGGTGGCCGCTGCACTGGCCACATTCGGCCCGAATTCGTGGGCCATCAGCATGCCATGTTCGTTGATCAAGTAGGAGGAGGATCCCCCGGTTCCCGAGACACCAGCCACGCCCCCCTCGTATTTGCAGGCAAAACTGGCCGGTATCACGACCGTTGGACGTGGCGACTCCGCCCTATTCGCCACCAGATGCTCATTCTCGATCTCCTCCAGCGGTTGTGGCAGCTCATCGGGTTCCTCCTTGGGCGATTCCACCTCATCTTCGCCGGTCTTCTCATACAACCGACGGGCATGACGCAACTTGCCGTGACGTTCGCGCCGCTCGCTGATCTTCTCAAGCTTTTTGGATGCACTGCCACTTGCACTGGTCGTGGTGAGTACTTCCGTTTGCGATTCATCGCCGGCTTCCGCTTCCTGCTTGTTGGCCATATCACCATCGCTGAGGATCTTGGGCGTGGAACAGCCATTCGGCTCCGGATTGGACCAATCCTGGCCAGTAGCTGCCGACGGTTCCTGGTCACTGGATTCCGGCTGAAGGAGCTGCTGCTGCTGCTGTTGTTGTTGTTGTTGCTGCTGGTGACGTAGACGCTGGCGCTGTTTGGGCGGGCAGGCGGCGGGCGGGGAGGCCATCGAGGCGGCGTGGGCGGCCAGCGGCGGCTCCTCCGCAAAGTGGCGCGCCGTCTCCAAGTAGGCACGCTGGGCAGGCTCCAGGTTGGCGGCATACTGGGCCAGCTTGCGTCTGTCCACGAAAAGTGAGAATTCAAAGGTAAATATAAGGAAAACCTCTCTTTAAAGCATCTCACTTAAAAACCCTACAAACAGTTTTTAAAACCAATTTACAATAAAACTCATAAAATAAAAAAGTTTAAAAAATATCTCACAGAGGAAAACTAACATTTAAGAGGTACAAATTAATCTGCAATTAAAGACATTCCTACAGTCAAGTGAATAGAACTATAAATCATATTTTCAAGTTAATATATCAACTTATATTTAAATTAAGTTATTAGAAAATAAATGTTTTCAAAAACGAATTGATTTGCTTAAATATTAAACTCATTTGTAAGCTGGAGTTTTTTAATAAAAAAAGGACATAATAAATTGTAAACTTTTAACAGTCAACCTACACATTGAACACGTCGTAGGCGTCGTCTAGCGGCGGACGACCCCGCTTGCGTTTCGGACCCAGAAAGTGTTCCACGGGTGCCACGCCCTCGTGCGATGTGCCCCCGGATATCGCGCCCACTCCGGCCGAACCCGATGCTCCCGGATGCGGTGTCATCACGGGCATGCGACCCAGGACGCTCTCCATTCCCGGGGACAGTCGCTCCCGCTCCCGGTCGCGATCTCTGTCCAGGATCGCAGAACTCTGCAGATGCATGGGTGGACCGGCCTGGGGCTGCTGTTGTTGGTGCTGGAGGATTAGGTCCTGGGCGTAACTGTCCGGCGGTGAGTGGAATTCGGCGGCGGCCATCGGAGGCGGCGGACCGTCCTCGTCGTCGCGCCAGGTCACCTCGGCCAGACCCTTGATCTTCAGGTCATCCGCGGTCTTCAGCAGCGACGGGAGGCTGGCCTGAAAAATTAGGTAATTATGGAATCATTTTTGGAACAAAAATCATTATATAAATAGAGAGGTTTTAAAGAGCATCAAAAGGTTTAGTGAAATATACTACAAAACAATTTAAAACAAAAAGGCGCGGTGGCATACATAATTCAAAACAATTTGCATCGCATACTTTGAAATGCATTCTCTACTCTTTAGATATTATTATTAAGATTACTGCTTTTTTAGGTGAATATGGGATTCAGATATTTTTCTTTAATATACTTATTATAATAATATTTCTTTGTTTGCGAATTAAGGATAAATTTTATCTTAAATGATATTTATTGAATAAATTTTAAGTTCAAAATACTTATATATAAAAAAGTACAGAATTGGTGACCCCTACTCACATGCTCCACGTTGATCTCGCCCTTGTACATGAACTCGATGAGGCACTTGACCTCCGCAAAGGTCACGTCCTTCATGATGATGATCGGGTCGCGTTCGCTGGCGTAGTTGGAGAGCACGGCGTCGAAGAAGGTGCTGCAGGCGCAGAGGACGACGCGGTGGGCGCGGATTAGTTGGCCCTCGCAGGCCAAGGTCACATCGCAGAAGCATCCGCGATCCAAGAGCTGCGAGAACATGGTCTGCAGATTGCTATGGTGGTACTTCCACCTCAGGCAGTACTGCTGCGGCAGCATGGTGGTGCCGCGCCTGCTGCTGCCCCTGATGGTGGTGCCTCTGGTGGTACGGGTGGTTCTGATGGTTCTAGTGGTCCTAGTGGAGGTCCTCTCCTTGACCAATTGCCCGACTGAAAAACAGAACGAAAAAAAAACGGCTTTTATAAGTAAATGCAAAACTAACTTCAAAAGGGGGTACCCAAAAATGTCTAAGAAGATTTGTAATCACCTATCAGGGTGCCTAAAAGTAGGCAACGTCACACGAATAAAGTTTCACAATGCTTGTAAACACCTTTTTAAGTGGTTTTTAAATCTCTAAGATTTCTCGAAAAGCCTCAATATATATAAGAAAGCTTATGCCAATAATTTAGCGCAATATTTTTATCGGCACTGCCAAATATAAACCAGCTCAAGAAATAGCTTGGCAAAAAATATTCATATTTAATATTTCATAATTAAAATTCTCAATAAAATCTGACCCCACCACCGTAAAATCCTAAATTGACTTTTCTTAATATGTCACAGTTTTCCGCACATCTGGACAAGATATTGAACCATTTATTGGTTTTTGTCGTGCCCCGAGCATTATATTCGTCGATAAACTTGGTATCCCTATGAATCCTTTCGCAGTGCGATGGTGTGTAAATGTCAATCGGAGGACATGCAGCTTTTAACTGTTTAATGAAAGGGTTTGCTTTTATTTTTTCTCTTTTTTTGGGCTTCGGCATGCAAGGAACTTCTTGTTGGCCTGTTTTTAAAGGTATTTTTCGAATTAAATTCATCGCAATTTTTTCGGCCAAATAAATAATCGAAATTCCCGCTTTATGTGAGCAAGTTGGGATCGGGAAAAAAAAACCAGAGTCCTGCCAGTCATCGAATAGCGAGATGTTTTTTCCAGCTCCATTTCCCTGGCAACAAAGAAGCGCCAATGACTTCGCTGGGTGAGGGAAAAAAAATTGGGAGGGAAGTATGGTAGTTTTTTCTTTCAGACTGCAGCACCATAAAAATGTTCGTCCTCGTTTTCATTTTATTATTATTCTTCTCTCTCACTCTTCTTTATACACATAAAAAATTTTCATAATTTTTTTTCTTTTTTTTTTTTTTGTACAGCGCAAATATTATGCGCAAGGTAAAACTTTATTTTGTTTGTCGCCTCCCCCCTCCCTTTATATGCATTTATGTAATATTATATATAAAAATATATATGGTATTTGGTGTACATGTACAAAATGAGTTGACGCTTAATAAAAACACAATTTTCCCCCAACTTCCCAACCAATCTGTCAATATACTTAAACGCACGGTATGGAAAAAATGAAAAGAGCAATTATAAAATCCCTTTTGTTGTCGATTTCCACAGATTCATCGTAATTGTAAAATCGAATAGACATGACGAAAGAGCGAAATAAATTGATTTTCGTGGTAAAGATAATTCTATATCCATGGTAACTCAGCAGTCCACATCCTCTCCAAAAATCTAAGAATGCTATTTTCATTAATTATTTAACTTATAAAAATTGACAGAGGTAATCCTCTTAACGTTATAATATTTGTTATTCTGGCCAACAAATTAAACGGACTCGAAATTTTGTGACTAAGCATTTGGCATTTCTAATACAACAATTTGTTTTTAAGCTTTTAGTAATCCTCAACTAAAATAGCGGTCAAATAAAATTATGTGTGTAATTGAATGGGTATAAACGTTAATTTGGTAAGTTAAATAGTAGTATTGGGCACTATTTTTAAATATTATTAATAAGAGAATTCTTTTCGTCTATGAATATGGTTTAAAGGTGATCGAAAATTCCTATTTTCTTCTTTCAACTTACATTTCTTAATTTAAAGGGTTAGTACGCATTTATTTTATAAAACATACATTCTGACAAACACGTGAAACGTATTTAAATCTATTGCCAAAAAGGGTTTGGAAAATCAGTTCCTATTTTGATATATAATGTACATAAAATGTATGTGTATATAAAAAAGGATGATAGAGATATGGTCATATACTTGCAACTTCCCCCTTTCCCCACTCCTTTTCACCCCATTTCCTGGTACGGTAATAAATTTTAAGAATTCCCCCAACAATTTTGTTACCCTTTTTTTATATCTGCCAACAAATTTTTGGATTTTTTGTCTCTTAAACTTTGTTTTTGTTTTTTGCTTTTTTTTTCTGTGAAACGCATTCTTGCTTTTAGTACTAATAGCACAAGGGAAAAACGAGTGAAAAAAAGGGTAGGATAATGGTAGGGGGATAAGAACTTTATGTTAGCTGCGTTTTATGTCCAGTGTACAAAATGGACCACACACACGCATTTAAGGGAAAAAGGACCCGCACTCACACACACTTATTTTGGAATAAGAAACACCAGGCATGGGTCAAAACTCGCCAAAGAAAAAAAATAAGAAATGTAGAAAAACGCTGCTGAAGAAAGAAGCTCGCGAACAGAATGCGAAAGCAAATTTCGCTTCACCTTTTTTAGCTGCAAGAAATGCCAAAGGAAAGTTGAAAAACAGAACAAACTACAAAAAACATCAGCAGCAGAACGCTGGCAAATAAATTGCACAAAAAAAAAATAACCTGAAAAAAATGGGTAGAAAAAGCCAAGAAGAAAGGACTTCTTTAGCTAGTATATAAAAGAGTGCCATATGTACGGGTTTTTGTATGTGCAGAATGATTGATATATTAAATACAGTCAAGCTTTAATCGAAGACATACAACCAAACATTTAACACAGTACATAGTACACCCTTCTAAATATTTTGTTTTACGTTTGTTAAAACAATAGAAATAGCAAATATCTAAAAAAAATTAACCAAATTAATTGATTTATTAAGAAAGTCGATCTTGTGGACATACAAGACATCCAGTAAATTACGTTTTATATATAATATTATTGAGACCAACGAATTTGTCCTTTGGAACTATAATGGTGTGTGATTTTCAAAGGTATAGTTTAAATAATACCATAAAATTCCCGGGTATGATCGATTTTTGGAAGATTGGAGATAAAGGTGCAAATTTATCTCGTTTACCTTTCAAATAGTTAACTTTTTTATTTGAAACTTTTGTATTTTCCATTTCTAAGTTACGGATGTTCTACTGTACAAAATAGTGGCATTAAAAAACGCAATGTCCGGCACTCAAGGATTGGGATTTGAGTTCGGTTTTCTGACTTGGCTCACACACAATAATAGAAAAGCCCCCTTCCCCTTCAAACACACACACACATAGACAAGAGTTAACTGCAAAGGGTTTTTGATCCCAATCTTTTCCCCCACCCCTTTAAACACAAACACACACACACGTTAGAAGCGTTACACATTTAAGTTCCTTAAAATAAAAAAAAAGCTACAACCCACACAGACACACGAAAACGTGGTGGGTGTGGGGGGTTGGCATAAAAAATACATGTTTTATTGTAGTATATTTTTCCCGCCAAGCAGTCGCACATACACACACACACACATAAAGCCCCTTTTTCTTTTGGATTTTCTCATGGAAAATATTTTTCAGTTTTTATCACATTTTTCTTCTTCTTTAGATTTCGTTTTGTGTGTTTTTTGCTGCATCTTTTTTATTATTTTACTTTTATATTTTTTTCTCCACTGCTTGTAAGCAGTGCAGGGGTGAGGGGGTTTGCAAAGGGGGTGACGCAAAAAGGTTGCGAGCGGAAAAATAAAAATGAAAAAAGACATTACAGCGACTGCGACGTTGGAGAGAAGAAAAAATAAATAAATAAAAACACAAAAAGCTGGCAGAACGAAGGGAAAATAAAGAAAGGCAGGGTACAAAAAAAAAATGAAAAAAACATAACGACCGTTTCTCGTTTCATTTCGTTTCCCCCCATTTTTTTTGCAGTTTTCCCCCCCGCTTCTGCTCTTTATTATTATTTTCAGTTTCTGTCTTTCCCCATTTATTTTTCTTTCTTATTTTTCGCCCCATGTTTCTCTCCTACTTTTTAAGCTGTAATTTTTTACTTGACGTTTTTTATGTTTTCTGCACTCCGTGCTCCCTTTTTTTTATTTTCACCAATTTTATCCTTTTTTTTAAATATCGATTTTCATGTCAACTTAAATGAAAGGTACACAGTTTTCCATAAAAAAAAAATAAACGGAATGTAAAAAAGGAGAGTACGGAATTTATATGTGGACCTGTCAACCATGTGTGTGTGTTTGTAATGCTTTTCTGCTTTTCCTTGCTGTCTCTTTTTATTATTAATTTTTTTATTCACACACACATGGTTGTAGATTTTCCCCATTTCCTTTTTATAAATGCTTGGCAGGGACACACACAGCGAGGAAAACAACTCCAAGATACACGGAGAAATTTCCTCTTTTTTTTTTGCTCCGGTTTCCCGTTTTTATTTTTATTTTTTTTTTTTAGTTTTTCCTTAGCATTTTCCGGGCGTTTTATGGGTGGAGGTGGTAAATTCCAACCATGATTAATGGAGAACTCAATCGAGACAGATACAGTTTTATATACATAACTGAACATTTACGACCAATACTTCTGGATACTTTTGAAATCGACGAATCCCATTTCTCAATGCCAATTTACGATAGTAATCTTTGGAACACAAAAAACACAAATGGATTATAAATTAAAAACGATTTGCTGCTTATAAATTTTAAGGATGTCGAGATCCTATGTATGTATTATTGGTTGAATAAGTAATACTTTTTCAAATTTCGATCGAATTTGTACTTGTTATTACATTGGAATTGTAGTTCTTAATTCATTCAAAGTTAAGGAATAACATAGTTTGGTTTAATTCGTGGATATATTTCAGGAGCTCTACAACAAGTTATTGGCAACAACGAATGAAAAAATGATTTTAAATGATCTGTGTTAAAATGCAATAAGCCCCGAATAATCTCCTTTCGCTGCTCGCCTGGTAGTAATTAAACTGCTTGCCACGCTGACCTCACCTGAGCGACAAAAAGGGATAATCCCTCGACATAAACCGATATCGGAATTAACTCAAACGATGGGCACAAACGAAATTGGTTTTTATACTCAGCAAAATGGAACGCAAAAGGGTGTGGGTCTGGAAAAAAATACGGTAACCGCATTATCAATTGCATTAAGGCACCGATAAGTGCAGGGCATCGAGTATATAACTCAATA